AATGCTCACAAGGAAAGTCAGGGCTGGTTAATTCTGCTCTGTTGGCTCATGGCAGCCTTCAAAGAGAAAACATTCAGGATTTAAAGCGATAGAGAGCTGGTACAGGAAAAGACTCATTGGTAATCATTACAATACTATTTGAATAACTGATAGGATGGGCCCCAGGGGAGAGCTGTGCCAAAGAAGTTAAGGAAGGTAACACAGGAGGAGGCCTGTGCAGGCAAAAAAGATCAGGGCAGTTGCTCCTTAAAGCACTTTTGGCCAGGCTTACTGTTAGAAAATGATACTGACCTCGGTACTATCTACATGGTCACAAATCCTACAGACTGTATACCCACATCCATAAAGGCACCAACTCTCCTTATGTGTATAGTGTTTTCTCCCCCTTCTGACTGTAAATTCCTGGGGGTTAAAATCTTATCTTTAAGGAAAGCACTAAATACAAAAGAGGCACTCCAAAAAATGTTAGTTTTCAATCCACCCTTCTCCCCTCTCCCTTCCCCCAAGGTTTTGCACAAAGGTACTCAATGAACATCTGAGTGAACTGACCCACTATTTCCAGGTACTGAAAAATGATGCTGCATTCCACTTATATTTGATTTACATAGACCAAAAATCTGAATTAATGATATCTTAGAAGATTTGCAAAGGGTTTTTTCTCTCTCAAAACCTTCTCATCTGTGACCTCATCTGATACTCACATTGTGCTGGAAATTAGCCTGAAAGATATTTATTTATTCACCCTGGTTTTCAAGATGAGGACTCTCAGTCTAGAGTTAATTTGTCCAAGATTACACAGGTGACACGAGAACAAGACTAGATCTCTGATTTTCTGAATTCTAGGTTAGTACCTCTCCCACTATGTTATTGGTTACTTTTAAGTCTGGCAGTTCTCACTACCTCTCACCATACACAAAAATAAACTGCAGCTAAGGTAAAAACATAAGCTGAAAATATAAGACTATAAGAATGTCAAAAGAAACTACAGGGAAATATTTTTATAATCTTGAGGTAGCATCACAAAAACCCAAAAGCCACAGGCAGACTTGACTACATAAAACCTTCAAAACTCTGTGTAAAGAAAGACACCATTAAAGTGGTTAAAGAGAACTCATGGCTTTACCCCACCCCTTATTTTACCCACTCTGTGTTTTCCAAAGTGATTTTTGCTCTCCTTGCAATTATTCTTTTCCATGAAAATTTTATTTTATTCTAATTTTTTAAGATTTATTTGTTTGTTTGAGAGAGAGAGAGAGTGCAAGCACACGTGAGGAGGAAGGGCAGAGGGAGAGGGAGAAGCAGACTTCCCGCTGAGCAGGGAACTCGACCAACCATCAGATTTGATCCCAAGACCCTGGGATTGTGACCTAAGCTGAGAGCAGACGCTTAACCCACTTAGCCACACAAGCACTCTTTTCCGTGAAAATCTAAAAATCAGATTAAGTTCCATGCAAAGTTCTACTTCATTTTATTTTAAGATTTTATTTATTTGTTTATTTGACACAGAGGGAGACACACAGGGAACACAAGCAGGGAGAGTGGGAGAGGGAGAAGCAGGCTTCCCACCGAGCAGGGAGCCCGATGTGGGGCTCGATCCCAGGACCCTGGGATCATGACCTGAGCCAAAGGCAGATGCTTAACGACTGAGCCACCCAGACGCCCCCAAAGTCCTATCTTAATTAGAACTTATTTATTTTTTTTTAAGATTTTATTTACCTATTTGACAGAGAGAGATCACAAGTAGGCAGAGCAGAAGGCAGAGAGGGGGGGAAGTAGGCTCCCTACTGAGCAGAGAGCCCAATGTGGGGTTTGATCCCAGGACCCTGAGATCATGACCTGAGCTGAAGGCAGAGGCTTAACCCACTGAGCCACCCAGGTGCCCCAGAACTTACTTTAATCAACAGCAAAAACTCATGTCTCTCACAAAATTAAGTCTTTCTATTCATACATGCTAAAAACTCTCCATTTAAGCAAAATCTTTTTGTCTTTCACCAAAATAGTCTGATTTTCTTAATATATGGCTTGAAGTTTCCCGTCAAATTTATTTCTAGAAGTGTAATATTCTTATTGTGAGAGTATTTACTTCATGGCATTTTTATGGTTGGTGGTTCTTATATTTTATGTGTACGATTTCTGTTTGTTAATCTCCCATCTGGTCATACTGCTGAACTCACTATTTTAGTATTTTGTCAGTCAATTCTCTTTCTTGATGAATGTATCATATGAAAATAGTGAGACTTTTCAGTGGCCAGGAGCTCCAATACAATATTAGCTTTGATGGTAAACATTCCTGTCTTATTCCTATTTTTGATAGGAATGCTTCAAATAATTTCCTGTAAAGCATAATTTGCTCGGGGAGGGGGGAAGCTGAAAGATAAACGAAAAACAAAGAGGAAGTATTTTAAACACATATGACAAATAAAAAGTTAATATAACTTTGAGAAGATGCAATAGAAGTTGCTCCACTCCACTATTGGTGATGCAAATTTAAATGATGAAATCACTATTTTTCTTTATTTTTTTTCTTAAGATTTCATTTATTTATTTGCCAGAGAACAGAGATCACAAGTAGGCACAGAAGCAGGCAGAGAGAGGTGGGGAAGCAGGCTCCCCACTGAGTAGGGAGTCCAATGTGGAACTCAATCCCAGGACCCTGAGACCATGACCTGAGCCGAAGGCAGAGGCTTAACCCACTGAGCCACCCAGGCGCCCCAACTATTTTTCATCTATCAAATTGGCAACCACACTAAAAATTCATAGTATTCAGTATTGCTATGCGATAGGAAATGGGGGCATTCATACATGGTTCTGAGTGAGCATGTAAATTGTTACGAACTGAAATTCAGTTTCACAGAATTGATTAAGATTTAAAACACACAGGGGGCCTTGCTCAGGTCAATTTCCCAAGAAATTTTCCTGGGATCAAGCCCCACATGGCTTTTCCCTCTCCCTCGGCCACTCCCCCTGCTTGTGCTCTCTCTCTCTCAAATAAATAAAATCTTTTAAAAAATGTGTTAAATGCACATATCTACAAATCTCTAAGTGCAAAAGGATTAACTGTATGAAGATGTTCTTTATGGCACTGTTTATAAAACAAATAATGGAACTAACCTAAATGTCCATCAGAATGAGTCTAGACAAATCAAAGCACAAATATAAGTTGGAATATTATGCAACAATTGTTAAAATATTAAAGAACTTAGATATCTACAATGTTAACACAGTGTCCAGCACTGTAGGTGCTCAATAAATACACTCTGGATGAAAAAAAATTGTATGAACATAGAAAAAAAACCTGGAAGTATATTTGCCAAATGGATAAAAGTGACTATCTTCAGGAGCAAAGGATAGTAGAAAACAGACATTTAACATTTTTGCCTTTTCTTCTTATGTGTGTGTCGACTTGTCAAATTAAGTATGAGTGGGGCACCTGGGTGGCTCAGGGGATTAGGCCGCTGCCTTCCGCTCGGGTCATGATCTCGGGGTCCTGGGATGGAGCCCCACATCGGGCTCTCTGCCTGCCTCTCTACCTACTTGTGATCTCTCTGTGTTAAAAAAAAAAAAAAAAAAAAAAAATTAAGTATGAGCGAATTTTTTTTTTTTTTAAGACTTCTTTCTGAGGCCCCTAGTGTGACTCAGTGGGTTAAAGCCTCTGCCTTTGGCTCAGGTCATGATCTCAGGGTCCTGGAATGGAGCCCTGCATGGGGTTCTCTGCTCAGCGGGGAGCCTGCTTCCCTTCCTCTCTCTGCTGCCTCTCTACCTACTTGTGATCTGTCAAATAAATAAAAATCTTTAAAAAAAAAAAAAAAGGTTCTTTCTGATGACATATCTCTATTTTTTATCTCAATTTTATCATGAGTCTAAGAGCACAAAGATTTGCTGTCAACGGCTCAAAACATGAAGTGCTCAAGGAAATGAAGCCCGTGTACAAAGTGTAGTTGGGAATTCCTCTCTTTCATAAATAAGTATTTTTCTTTTGGCATCTCAATTAATTCTCCTAAACTTACCTCCTGGCAGCACCTACAGCAGAAGCTGAGATTAAAAATGGATTGACATTTCCTTCCACTAAGAACACTTGGCATAGTCCATCTTTAGCGGGACCTCTCCCTAATAGCTCAAGCTGGGAGATTCTAAAGAAAAGTTCAAGTTTCCATCTTCTTAACGCCAGACCCAAGGGCCACCCTCTATGACTTAGTCTCCAATGAAACTACAGTCTTCTACTGAGGGGAGTCCTATGGCTTCTTTCAGGCGAGGAGGCCAATGTTAGACACTGGAACGTCTGAAATGAAGGGGTAAGCGGTGTAAGTTAACCAGACTGGCCTCGGGACACGCCCAGATTGAGTGTACACGGCCGAAGCATGCAAAGAAAATTAACTCTTCTCCCAGGAACTGGGCGGCCCCAGAATCTTCAGAGCTGGGTCTGATAGAAAACTCAGATGGGGCACCTGGGTGGCTCAGTGGGTTAAGCCTCTGCCTTCGGCTCAGGTCATGATCTCAGTGTCCTCTGTTCGAGCCCGCATCGGGCTCCCTGCTTAGCAGGGGAGCCTGCTTCCCCATCTCTCTCTCTCTGCCTGCCTCTCTGCCTACTTGTGATCTCTCTCTCTCTCTATTTCTGTCAAGTAAATAAATAAATCTAAACAAAACAAAAGAAAACTCAGATAAAGAGGACCTTCTCTGAGTACGTGAAAAGGCTGAGTCCGAACTATTCAGGCTCTACTTGGGGCTGGAGGCTCAGATGCGACAGGGGGACGTACGCGAGGAAGAGAAACTGATGGCCTTTTTTCAAGGAGCCTCAAACAGACAACTTAGCAAAACCTATCGAGAGAAGGCAACACACGTCACTTGAGTTTTCGTTCCTGCCCTCAGCCAAGATGGCCGCCGGGGCGCGCCCTGCCACGGCGCACGCGTCGTGCCGCCGGCCCGCCCCCTTCCCGTCCTTCCGCGCGCCGGTACCGCCCACTCACCAGCTGCACAACCACTCCCCCCCCCAACCCTCCCAGCGTCCTCAGCCTCACCCCCTTTCTGGCTGCTCCCGCCGGTCCAAGCTCCGAGCCCGGAAGTGGATATTGCGGCTCGGCTGAGAGGACGAGGGGGAGGGGGAAGTGCTTCCGGGGAAACGGGTCCCGGGTTGGTGTTTGTAAACTTGCCTCGGTCCCGGCAGGGCAGCGGCGGCTACGGGGCTGGCACGGTGTGCTAGGGCCTGGAGGAGGCGCCGCGCGGTCGCGAAGACCGCGGGAGGCCGCGCCTGGCAGGTAGGAGCACGCCTCAGGGAGCGCAGCGTCGTCCGGGCAGGCGGCAGCGCCTCAGCAGCTCACAGGCCGTGGGGCGCCGCGCGGGAAGGGGGAGGGGAAGGGAGGAGGGGCGCGTGGCGAAGGGAGGGGGCTCGCGGGGGAGAGGAAGGGGCCGCGCGCGCGCGCGCACACACACACACACACCCCGCTCGCTCGGCCCGGCGGAGAGGGGCTTGCTTGGCGGGGACGCGGGCGCGAGCACGCACCTAGCGCGCTTCTCGGCGCTCTCCTCCGCGCTCTCCTCCGGCTCGGTGCGGCGGGGCGCTGCGGCTGGCTGGCTGGCTGGCTGGCTGGAGGAGGAGGAGCAGGGAGGGAACACGGAGCGCCGGCCTCCGCCTGCCTGCCTTCTTCCGCAGCGAGTTTCCGTGCCTTGGGGCAGACTCGGAGAACGCGCACGTGTGGGCCGGCTCGGCGCACACTGCCAGTCCGGTTGCTGCCTTGCTACTCAGACGTCCAGCGATAGCCTCTGAGCTTTTCTCCACCCCAGTTCTGGCCTCCTTAATAGAGTGCGAGCTTCGCGGCCCGGCCCACTCGGCACAAAAGCCCCGAAGGGCCTCCGCCCCCTTCTTCTATTCGTAAGATGGCAAATCCAAGCAGTTGGCCTATTGCAGTTCATCCATGAGAAGCCCCAGTTACTTTTACTCCTGTTGGCAGCTCGTCTTTGCCCTGGAGGCCAGTTTCTTCTCCTGACCTAGAAAGAAAACTCTGCTTAACTAATGTCCTCTTTCTGAGGTTCACAGAGAGCGGCCACGGCCCCAAAAAAAAAAAAAAAAAAAAAAAAAGGTCCAGCCTACTGCAGGTCGTATGGCCTGAGAATGTTGCACCTAACAGCCCCATCTCCTCATCTCCGTTTCTGGTTTCAGGTTTCTGAAACAGATCGTGAACTTCAACGAGAGGATTCAGTTGGAAAACCAAGACTGGCAGACTTCTTCAGATCATAGGCAGGAGCCAAGCCGAGTCCAGGGATTCTTGGAACATCTATCTTCCCTTTGGAGGACACTAAGTTCTGTTTGAAGACAAAGGCAGTTCAATATGGCAGCAGGACTGAAAGGACACGAAGGAGTTGTTACAGTGATTTGGTGACAGTTCTTCAAACAACAGTGTCTTAGGAGAGGTGGATCAAGAAACTCCTGAACTTTTGGGTTGCATTAAGTGAGAAATCAGCATGGCTCAGGTAAAAAGCTATAGAATCCTCCTCCTTCAAGATCACTGGGAAGCGTGTTTGCAGTTTCACTCTTGAATGCTGCCTTAGTCAACATATTGACCAACCCAGTGAGCCAAGCTCTGTATTAAACACCAGGGGGAGATCTAGAGGAAGGAAAGGAGACAGGCCACAGCCCCTGCCTTCAGGGAGCTTCCAGTCAAATGAAGGAGGTAGGCCATTCTGCATCACAGGCACTGATGGGACATTTGCGAAACAACTACTCAGTTTACACTTGGTACATTAAGTGCTGAGGGGCATGAGAGAGTGAAGAGTCTGGTGAATGCTTCATTTGTTTTTTTCAACATGAATTAATTGAACTCCTGTTACATGCAAGGCATTATGCTGGGGATACAAAGATGAATAAGATTATCCCCATCCCCAGCAAGCTTCCAGGATAGTTGGGTTGGAGTCGGGGGAAGTGGAGAGAAAGTCTGTTATTTATCTTTATGTACATAATACCTTGCATAGTGGTTGATTAGCAGCAGAGACTCAATGAAACTGTTGATTGAAGGAACATGCAATAATAGAGGTATGTACGTGGCAGAGGAGAGAAGGGTACCTCTGCTTAGATGAACAAAAGCAGATGAAGCTTGAAGAATACATAGGATTTTCCTAGACAAACAAGCAGACAGGGCTTTCAGACAAGGAGAACTGGATGGGCAGAGGCTTAAAGGCATAGGAGAATGTGATGGGGTTAGGAGTACTGCAGGTAGTTTCCTAGTTAAGGAGGAAAGGACTTAAATGGGTGAGGGGGACAGGGTAGGTAATGATAGAGGGAAGAGTTAGGGTAAGGGAGTTGTTTCTTAGGGATGTAAGAGTATAACCCAAGGGCCTTTTGTGCCTCACTAAGGAATCAGACTTTATTCTGTAGGGAATGGGAGCTCTCTGAAGAATGTTAAGTAGCAGAGTGGTGTCAGATCAGTGTATTTAGAAGATAACTGTCATTGTGAGGGGACAGGATTGGATTGGAGAGACAGGATGATCTGTTAGATTGTTCTAAGTGTGGATAGCAAAGCTATGTGCAGGCATCCCTGGAGCGTCCCCCAGCTTTCTTCCAGGGACCCTCCCCTACCAGTCTCACCAGGAGGGCAGTCTGATTATAGTATAATTGGCTTTCTTCCAGCTGCATGCATAGCTTCCTCCTTTCCATGCAGATTAGGAGCCCTTTGGTTTCTTCTTCCTTTGTTTGCAACCCCCATCACAGCATCATGTTCACTCTTGTTCTGAGAAACTGCCTTTCACTAATCACTAACTTTGTATTGGGTACCGCTATGTATTTGTATCTTAGTTTTATTCTCGTCAGCCCTGTGAGAGTAAATACTCTTCGTAAACATTTTGCATTTAAGGAAACTGAGGCCTGAAGAGGTGGAGTAACTTGCCCAAGATTATGCAGTGCAAACAGCAGATCTGAACTTTCCACCTCTAAACCTTTCTATGTCCAAAGTCCTTGAAGGAGAAAGGAAAGAAGGGGTCGCAGGTTATACTAAAAGGAACTTTTTTTTTAAGAGAGTATTTTTAAAAGGAATTTTTTAAATAAATGACTTGTGGAAGTTTGCTGATGAACTATTTCTTTGAAGTGTTTCTTAAAGAAATGTTTTTTAGTAAGAAAAATACATCCTCTAGTGCTAGCCAAACAAAGTTAGTTTGAAGAATATAGCCATGAAAAGAGGAAATTTTTTTAATCATTCCTTGTTTGAGCAGTTTTTAAACTACACATAGAGCAGAGAATGTGAAAACATATGGATTTGCACACAAATAAATGGCCTTGGAGGTCAAGAGAAAGTGATATTCAACCCTAAAATCCTTCCAAGTGATTTAATTTTTAGACCTGTTAAAATTGACAACACCTCGGGAATTTAAAATCTGAAGGGAGAAATAATGTAGTTTCCTGATAAGCATGTCTGTGGGACCTGAAAGAATATATATTTGGCACCAGTGATATCTGCCGATCATAGTGAGCTCTGAAGCTTCTGTTGAGAGAGGAAGAGGAGGAAAGTCTGCTAGAAATCTCCCATTTCAGTGGATCAGCAGGGCAGACCCTCATGCCCATTCACAAGGTCAAGTACCTGGTAACATGTCCTAGCACACTGCTAATGACAAAAGTGTCAGTAATACTTGGTTATTCACTTGATTGGTATTTAAATGCTGAATAATAACAAGTAACTTGTTCTTGGTGAGGTGAGTTAGGGAGTACTCTTGAAGGAAACAGTTTCTCGCAGTAGAGAGGGACATTCCTTAGAGAAGCAGTTTGTTTGTGGCTGGGTGTGAAAGGTAGTTGTACAGAAGATGGCAGCCTGTTTTTGTCCTGCCCTGCCCTGCCAGGTGACCTGACACCTCATCTCCTTTCAACTTAGGCAAGTCTCCTGGCTTGTGAAGGCCTAGCAGGTGTGAGTTTGGTTCCCACTGCAGCCAGCAAGAAGATGATGCTGAGCCAGATTGCCAGCAAGCAGGCCGAGAATGGAGAGCGGGCAGGTAGCCCTGATGTGCTGAGGTGCTCAAGTCAGGTACAGCGTTTGAGTCCATTGTGGCACCTGGGGGTCGGGTGGCCCAAGCTCTCTGCCAGGAGATGTCAAGCTTTAATTCCTCAGTGCATCTATTTAGGGAAGTGGGGAAAAGGGATCCAGCTGGGGAATGAGTGAATGTGGGTATTTTAGAGAGCTAAGGAAGGGCTTTTCTTTACCTATAACCCCTTAACACCATAGTACTTAGAGAGGAAATGGATGAGTACCTTCTCTAAACCTTTGGGGCAGGTGGTTACTGTTATTTAGAAGTTGTCTGCAAGCACAGCATTTGGTTTCCTGTCTTGTGTAGGGAGATAGGCTGTGAGTTTAGCTTTGATTTATTTTAAAAGGGCCACCGAAAAGACAGCGATAAGTCCCGGAGTCGCAAAGATGATGACAGCTTGGCTGAGGCTTCTCATTCAAAGAAGACTGTTAAAAAGGCAGGTAATGGGGTAATCCCCAAACTGGTATCGTTTGGTAATGGGATAATCCTTCTTTTCTTTTCATCTGTGGTTCAACCTGGAGTTTTCCCTAGATGTTTTGATCACTCGTAGCCAGTGAATGTGTCACTCTGATTTCTTCCATAGACCATTTTGGTCTTTGATCTCTGCCCTCTCCAGAACATCCTTGGTAAAGGAAGGAGGGCCGGGGAAGCATGGGATCCTGTGGGCAGGTAGACCTCCCTCAGGTCGCATTCAGAGGTGTTGGGTTTGATGGGGCATACAGCTTACCCATACCCACCTCCTTCCTCAGAGGGTCTCTTAAATCTAGGGAATGAGGGAGATGAAAACATTAGAAAGATTACTTTGTCCAGCAACTGGAAATTGACCTAGGATAGAATGAAGACAAAAAGGAGGCTGAGAGATAGCCTTATGACATGCCTGATTGTTGCCTCTAGGTGGTGGTAGTGGAACAAAATGGTTCTTTTCAAGTAAAGATTCCCAAAAATTTTATTTGCGAACACTGCTTTGGAGCCTTTAGGAGCAGTTACCACCTCAAGAGGCACATCCTTATTCATACTGGTAAGTCTTTTGCTCATATTCAGTAGTCTGTAGTTTTGTGTGTGTGTGTGTGTGTGTGCATGTGCGCGTGTGTGTGTGTGTAGCTCTTGTTGGGTTTGTTTTAGAGGCCAAGTATTAGAAATAGAGGAAGAAGATAAGTGAGTTAGCTAGAGAAATTTTGTGGCTCTGTATCTAGTGTCACTGAGACCAACAGCCTTGGGGACCCTTCCTCATTAGGTGTCTGTACATGGCTAAAAATTAAAAATTTCTGGGAAAATACCTGGAATGAAGTCCCTACCTTGTACCTCATGATAATCAACTTCTCTCTCCACATGGGCCAGGTGAGAAACCATTTGAGTGTGATATATGTGATATGCGCTTCATCCAGAAGTACCACCTGGAGCGTCACAAGCGTGTGCACAGTGGTGAAAAGCCCTACCAGTGTGAACGGTGTCATCAGGTAAGCTCATGTGTCCTCTGCCCACCCCGCACAACAAACTTTTTCTTCACCAAGAAGGAGGGCCCGCCCCCGTCGCCTTCCTGACAAGGGGCCACATCGAATTCCTGGCCATGATAGAGTTAGTATGTCCGGGTGAGGTGTATCTCTCTGGCCTTATGCAGCTGTCTATGGGGAGGGGCCATGAGAATAATTGTATTAACAATAGCATTTTTCATGTTCTTATTTCTGTGCAAGGTACTGTGAGAGCCTGTAAACATAGATTATCTTTTTAATCCTCATGTTAATTCTATAAAGACCTGTGTTGTCATCATTTCACATATGGGGAAATTGAGATTCAAAGAGGTTAAGTTTCCTGAAGTCACAGCAGATTAAGGGCAGAGGCAGGATTCAGTCAAACTCAGAGCTGGTGCACCTGGAAGAAAGACCATCTCTGCCGCGGGGGCGGGGGGTGTCACTGTCTGATCTGATGAGAATGTTTGCTCCACCCTCTTACACTGAATCTCGAAACACTAGGATGGAAACTCCATTAGGCAGAGATTTTGCCCCTCTGGTTCACCATTCTGTCCTCAGCCCCAAGAACTGTACCTGCCTTGAGACAGACAATAAATATTGGATGAATGACACAGCCCTTCTGTGAGTAGGTACTTTAGCCCCGTTACAGATGAGTGTCCAGATTGAGTGCTGTTAGATACCATGTCCAAGGTCGCACAGCTGCTGAGGGCTAGAGCCAGGACTCTGACTTCAGAGCCTGTGCTCTTAACCGCTGTGTGCTCCTGCCGTCTGTGTACTTGCTGAGGGCATGTGGAACCGAATTCCTGCCTCCCACGTGGGGACGGCAGAGCTAGCCAAAGGTAGCTGAGGTTCTCTCAACACTTAATCCTTCCTTTCTTCTCAGTGTTTTTCTCGGACAGATCGATTACTCAGACACAAACGGATGTGCCAAGGGTGCCAGTCCAAGACTTCCGACGGGCAGTTTTCTCTATAGGCGCAAGGGGCCCTGGGTGGTGGGAGTGATCAGAAGAATTTACCGAAGAGCGCACCCCCTCTGGTCTGATGGTCCCACCACCACCCCGTCTGTACCTGTCCCCCTCCTGGAGGAGTTGACCCAGGAGACCAGAAGAGTGCATCAGGGGACAGCGGCCTCAGAGCTTCAGCTCTGTAAATAATCTGAGACTATGAGTATCTCGGGGAAGTTCCTACAGCATTCCTGGGTAGGGAAGCTAGTCCCTGGACCCTTGGCTGAGGTTATAGGTGGGGACTGAAGGTACAGGACCAAGACTGGTGTGGCTCCCACAACCTTGGACTCCAGCTGGCACCTAAAATGGAAAGGTTTGGGGAGAGGGATTTGTTTGTTTGTTCTGTTCTTGTTTTTGTTTATCCAAAAGCAATTTTAGCAGCAACACTGTGGATACAGGTAACATGGAGGCATAGAGCCCTGGTCAAAGCAGGGACTATGGCTGGTCCAGCCCTCCCCAAAATTGAGTTTTTAGTTGCAGTTGATCCCTCAGTGTTCCACAGCCCTGCATCTCACCTTCTGTTTGAAGGAGAGTAGGATCAGGGATGGCAGCTGAGTTCACCTTGGTCTCCTTATACACTGTAAGGACAGAAGGAAGAATGGCGGGAGGAGCAGATAAGGGCTGGGTCCAACTAGAGTGGGCAGGTACCTCTTTCTTCCTCCAGGGAAGAGCAAGAGCTGTGCCCACAGCTGTTGCATTGGCCCAGGCCACCCTGGTACCTGATGGAGTCAGCTCAAGTGCCTTGTGGAGGGAACTTGGGTGAGAGCGGCCCACAGAGCCCTTCCATGCCCTCTTTGGGCACTCGATCTTGGAGATAGTGTGTGGCTACCTCGCTGCCGTTGACTCCTGAGCCAGACAGAGGTGTTCAGCAGGTAGTCACGGATATCAAAGGGGGCTATCTCTCCTTGTGCCCTCTTGGAACAACCTGAAACTAGTCCCAAGTTCAGCAACAACTGTTCAAGAAACAGAGGAGTTTGGTGTCCCCTGACATGACGGTTGAGCAGTGTGAGCTGCTCTCCCTGCCCAAGTCCTATCACTGTATTCAGGGAGAGGAGATAGGGGTGTGGCCTTTGGTCCCAAAGAATAAGATCTTCGTTTCCTTCTTAATGGCCATCCCTACCCAACAAAGAATTGGGGGTGGGAGGTGCTGCAGAGAAAGGACTGAGGAAGAAATCTATTGTAGGTTTTATTCTTAATCATATTCTTTGCTCTTCTCTGCCCCAACACCACCACCCTACCCACCCTCAAAAAAGTGATCAGGGGTGTGTGTGTGCGTGTGAATGTGTTCATTCAAATGTGTGCTTGTGTTTGTATGCTTGGAGATGGCATATTATTGAGCCAAACCCTTCTCTGGCCCTCAACTCAGGGGAGGATGAGCATGAAACAGCCCCCATCACCACCACCAAATCTGAGGGTGCTTGAGGTCCCAGCAGGAGCTGAGGAACTTGATTTAGGGGAGTGAAGGGCTTTGTTTTGGAGGGTTGTTTTTTTTTTTTTAATTGATTCAACAGGCTGGTTAGGGTGTTTAATCCAAGCCATAGCTTGTAAACATGAACTTTTTAAAGTGAAATAAAAAACCCTCTTTCTACTATGGAAGGTCCTGGGGTTTGGTTGGCCCCCACTGTGGCCTGCCCTGACCTATAGAGGGGAGTAATCATGGAATAATCATGGAGGCTTGGTGAACCTGACCACGCTGTCAGTGGGGCTCTAAGATGGCAACTCCAGACAGTGTGACTTCATTTCCTAGAAAATGTAGGGAACAGCAGCAGAAAGCTCCTGGCTGTTACCTGAGGTGTGGGGAGGGGCTCTATACCTCGAAATGTGAGGATTTCAGGGAAAGAGAAAGGTATGGCACCCTTCAGATTTTCCCTGACAGCGCCTGAGATCCTTTGGAAGAGACACTGGGGAATGTGTTTGCCGCCTGTGCTCTTCTAGCTTTACGCTGGCACTTGCATTTGATACCGTCCAGAACCTAGGGTTCAGTCCTTGAAGCTGCCATGTGGTCCCCTCAAGCTGGGTATCTTCCCGTATGTAAGTGAGCCCCTTTCCTGTTAGAGGGCTCTTCTGGGGCCGGAATTTATCACTCACCTCTGGGAGTAGATTCTTGGAAGGAGGCAACATTTAAAAAACTTCTCCCAGGAGCACTTTTGAAAACAGGAGGCTTCATTCCCTGCCAGTTGCAGCTAATCTGTTTAGGGGTGGAGTGTGTGTGGAGAGAATCCCTTGAGTGACCTCTCCCCTACATGTGTGGATGTGTGCTTAGGTCCCAGTGTGCCATGGCCCCCCACAGCTCCAGTCTCCTGCCAGGGTGGGTGAGAGAGAGGGAGTTTGTGCACAGGTGTGTAAAGAGCCATACCAGAAGCACCCCTGCCAAGGACTGGGTGTGGGGGCAACTCAGGAGCAGGTGGGAGGTTTAGGTGTCCAGGTTCTGGGGCCAAGGATGTGTGAGGAGAGAGGAGCAAAGAGGAGAAAGGAGTGATTTAGCCTCCCAGAGGGCCCGGAAGCCCCACTTACACCCCAGGGAAAGCACAGACAAAGAGCGCTGCAGGGGCTCCTGGGCCCAAGGCCCCAGCCCTCCTCAGCTAGTGGGGTCTAGCACTGGACAGATGCCTCAGGTGCGTTTGGAGTGAAGGGAAAGGGAGCTAGGGCAGGCTCTCAGAGACCAGGACATGGAATTTGGGGACCTGGGAAAGAGTAGTACCAGTTCTGGGGGGGGGGGCTTGTACTGGGCCCTACCAGCCCTGCCCTTCCCTGCACCCCAACTCTTCTCCGTCCAACAGCCTCTTTCATCACTTAGCTACTGATTGTGCCCTATGGCTTGACATTGGAGGGTTAAATGAGATGTGGGGTCCCACCACACTGCTAACCCTCTCCCCAGACGCTCTTTGCCTCTGCTGCAGTCCTGAGGCTTTTATCTTAACAATCCCTCCCAACTCTTCCTCTCTGCCCTCTCCCTCCCTCCCTCCCTCTCTCTCTCTCTTTTTTTTTAATATACTTATTTTGCTATTGGGGGAGGGGAATATCAAATGAACAAGATCACTTTTAAATGGTAGTTTTTATAAGATGTTATAAACTTGTATCTTTTTACCATTAAAGTGCAGTGTATGTTCCTTCGTGATATATTTAGGATATTTAAATAAAAAGAAAATGGGGCTTTTCTACATACTATCTCTTTTTTTTGGGAAAGCTTTTTCTTTGGGGCCAAAGTGGTTTTCTGTTTTCCCCCCAAATATAACCATTCCAAACGTCCAGCATCCTTTAAACCACTGTTTAAAACTCCCCTCCACAGAAGAGCAACAAGTGCAAGTAAAAACAGGATATCACTTCTGAATACGGGGGGAAAAAAAACATGCATGCCAGAACAAAATGAGGCGGGGTACCAACGTGTCTCTGAGTGTGTGTCTGCAGTCCTCCCACATCAGCATTACCTGGGGATTGAGAAGCCCCGCCCCCCTCCCGCCTGGCAGCCACTTACCAAACCTCCTGCACCTTGGGTTACAGGCTTTCCCTACACTCAGGTGGGAGGAAGGAGCACGTGTTTTCCTGAGGCCCAGGCTCCACAGCCTGCTCTGGCCTTGGGTAAAGCAAGATGACAGCGGTGCTCTGAGGTAAGACTCTTTATTGTATATGGGGAGCGGGGGCTAACCCCCACTCATGAGGTAGGGAAGCGTGGTTACAGGGGTAGGCAGCCCTCGGCTGTCACTCTGAGAATGAAGTGGGTAGTGACCATTCCTCAGTAGTCCCCTTCCAGGCAGCTGAGAAGAGCCCTGGGAGGAGTGCTCCTCCCTCTGCTTCAGAGAAGGGGACTCCCTGCCTCCTGAAAGCGAGGGTTGACAGTGGTCGTGATGGCACTTCTGTAGAGAGGATTGCTGTCCTGGGAAGGGAAGTTGGAAACGATGAGGAAGAATCCCTGGGCTTTCCTTTATCTAATCCTAAGAGGCCAACCTCAAACTTGAGCAGCGCCCCAAGAGCTGATGGAAGTTAGCAGCGGGGTGGGCCAGAGGAGGTACAGACCAAAGTGAGGGGGCGGCCTAGGAAGGAGCCAGGGCTGGGGGGCAGGGGGCGGGCAGCAGAGAGCAAAGAGGTCCTAACCAGGGAGAGCCCAGCAGGGTAGGAGGCAGTCTCCCCACCTGCTTCCAGTTGAGCCGGTGCCGCTCCTTCTCAAAGCGCCTGAATTCTCGGCGATCATAAATTTCCACAGAAAGCCGATAAGCCAGAACTAGCCCTAGTCCCACTGCCACGATGCCCCCCACACAGCCCAGCACAATGGTCTGCGTGTGATCTGCTCCTATGGGGAAGAAATAACAGAGCCATGGGGATTGATCGGCCATTGCCCACAGTGTGTCCAGCCTTCCCAGCCTTGCCTGTCCTTGAAAACAAAGGGAACCCGGCAGTGGCCAAAGTTATCCTCAGTGGTCAAGACCTTAGTCTTGTCCACTTGGTCCATCACCTCCAGTTTTGCCTGGACTCTCTGCTGTACTTCAACCCCTAGCCTTGTTTCCCATTCTCTTCACGTCCCCAACCGGAGTTTTGAGGCCCTACCCATCAAACTTCCAGGGCTCCCTTTGGCATGCCCATAGCATCCCTGCCACACTTACTCTCTTTGGGTCTGACTCTGAGCACAACCTTGCCTCCAGCTCCCTCCTCCACCAGGAAGAAGAACAGCTGGTTGTCCAGGGTCCTCTCTTTGCACCAGCCATCATCCAGGATAGGGGCCGAAGTCAGGGTCACGTTGACAGAGCCACAAGCCCCGCTGCAATTGAGGGCCAGGGGGCCAGTTCCAAAGGCCCCACACTCTGCACAGTCCCTGTCCAGTGGACACCAGTAGATTACCAGCTAGGCAGCTGTCACCCACACTACACGGCAGGAAGGAGCAGGCAGATGGGAGTGGCTCTGCGAGCCCTGCTGTGCCCCTGCTCCCAAGCCACAGGACCGGAGGCCTCACCTGTATCTCTCGCATGACGTTGCGCAGCCTGGGCACTGCTCACAGAGGGCACCGAAGTAGCCCTCCAGGCACTGGCAGCGGTTGCACCTGCACTGTCCGTGCCTGCTGCACAGAATTCCGTCGGGACTGGTACAGCTGTCCGTGTCCCCACTGCACTCACATGCTCTGCCAGTGCGGTTGGCGAAACAGTGACACAATCCACATCGGCAGCGGCCAAAGCCTGGGGCAGAGCCATGCTCGGGCTGACAACCACACTCCTCACACACAATGGGCATCACATGCCACCACAGGCTGCCTAAAGCTGGTCTGTTCCCGTGCATCCAACTCCCTCCCAAGGTTGCCAGACACCTCCAACCTACACCAGAACCTTCGATACTCACCCTTAAGGCCATGAAGTCCCCAGAGCCTAAATACCCTTGGGAGCCACTCTAAAAGCCGCTCCCTTCTCCCAAAGCCTGCAGGTACCTCCACAGAGGATGCCCTCGTGTCGCTCGCAGCCAGCATCATCACACTCGCACAGACTCCCGGAGCTCTGTCCGCTGCAGCTGCAGCGTCCGCAATGACACCGTCCCTTCCCACTGCACAAGGGCCCTGTCCCATTGGGGGACCGGCACCCAGATTCCAGATCAGGGGAAGAAAGCTCAGCCTCAGAGCATTCACAGAGCCGCCCCAGGCGGCCAGGAGCACAGCTGGAAGGGGAAGGCAGAGGCAGAGTCAGGCAGAGCCAGGAAAGGGAAGGGCGGGTCAGAGGGTTACCATCCCTTGACCTATCTTTCCCAGGATCCTCTAAACCTAAGATCTCTAAAGAGTGGGAGAGAGATGAGTGGCTGAAGGGATGCTGGTATGTGGTTGAGCACCAAGGAGTAAAAGAGTGGAGGGGAGGGTCTTGGCATATCTGGGAAACTTCAGATGAAAATCAGGGTGGAGTCTTGGGACATCTGGAAAAAGATGTCTAGAGATGCCAGTGGGAGGATAGAAGGGAGAGGAGGAATACCGGGCTTGGTCATGTGTGAGGAGCCACATGGCTGAAAGGAAGCAGGAGGCCTCACCTGCATACCCCGCATTGTAGGAGCCCCTGGCCATCACTGCAGTGGGGAGCCTGGGGCTGGGTGTCACTGCAGTTGCAATCACACAGAGTGTGCACCTCCACAGTCAGCTCTTCTGAGAAGCCAAGGGCTCGCAGCCTCAGAAGCTGGGGCTCCGAGGAGCAGTGGGTAGCTTGGAGAGCAACCAAAAAATTCACCTGAGGACAATATGGGCAGAAATCAGACTTAAGGTCCTGTGTACACACACACACACACACACACACACACACACACACACACACACACACAC